GAATTCCTGCTTTAGAGTAACCTGGTTGTTGGCAGCTATTCCCACCTTCAAGAATTATCTGGACAAACCCACCTAAAACCCCTAGTCAGGTATATCTGGTTCATTGGCTCTGGCCTCAGGAATAATTCTTCTGTCTGAGGGGTTTAAGGAATGTAGCTCCTGTCAACCCCTCAGACAGAAGATTCAAATAATCTCTGCTGGATGAAAGGGAAATCTGGCTGTGACATCTGTCACCCCATTGATCACCAGGGTTGAATTGGCTGATCTGCCTGGCTAAGCAGGTGTCCCCTTCCCCCTCACTGCTCTATGTGCATCTTCCCTGAAGCTGTGTGCTCTGTCAAAGAGGACGACCATCCCTGATAGATGAGGACCCATCTTTGGTCAGGGGTATTCAAGTAGGTGCACTCCCCAACTAGAACCTCCACACAAGCTCTCAAATATTCTCTGCTGTTTGCAGCTATGGATGTGCCCTCAAGAATGCACCATGTGTTGACAAAATCAAATGCTGCCTGAAGGTAAAAAAGGGTAAAGACTTATGTACTTGAAATGTCAACTATGATCTCGTTGACCTTTGCAAACTTGATAAAATGGACTCAAAACCTTGTATACCCTGTGTAAATCCAAAGTCCTCCCCAGAACCTCTGGGTGCATGGCTCTCATGATCAGCTCTGATTCCAGGCTCTGCAATCTTGAATTAGTTCAGCTTTGGGGTCATTTTTCACGTTGTCTTTTCTCATCATGCAAAGATAATACAGCCTCTCTCTTACTCTGGCTATAGTGTGGAGAACACGTTAGGGAGTGCATGGATAAATATAGGTAAACCAGATAGGAAGAGCTGTTTGCAGTATTTCAGGTGAGACATGTTTATTTTTACTATAATGTAGCATCTATTAGACTACAGAGTTTCATTTTGCATATTAGTATATCCCAAGTGCCCAAACAATACCTGACACATGATAGTTGTGCAATTACCTTTTTTCAGATTGCCAACCCTGGAATAATACCACATATGGGGATGAAAATTGTTTATTTGGTTCCAGACTTGTTGAGTTTGAGTTACTTTTACAACCTCCAATGAGGAGATGTCAAGTGGTCAGTTGCATATAATGGTCTGGAGATCAGAGGAAAGATCTATGGTTGTTATTTAAAGATGCAAGTCACCTATGGATTGCTACTAATTGAAGATAAATGTGTGGATGACATTGCCTGGGGAGCGAGTGAATGTGAAAATTGAGCCTTCAAAAACAGAAGGAATGACCAGAGAGGCAGGAGAAAGAGAAGCCAAAGGAAGAAAGTGCTTGATGGCTATCTGAAATTTTGACCCCTCAAATGATACCAAGATGGCATACAATTGTGGTGAAATGGTACACTGTGCCAGTGTACGTTATGCTTTTAAAATAAATGTAGTTCTTACGATACAAGAAACGAGATTTCACTAACAAGATTAGTAAAACATAAGAACATTTAGAAGGCTGAGGTGAGTGGATCACTTGAGCCCAGAAGTTTGAGATCAGTCAGAGGAACATGGTGAAATCCTGAATCTACAAAAAAATTAGCTGGGTGCGATGGATGGTGCACACTTGTTGTCCCAGTCACTCAGGAGACTGAGGCAGGAGAATCTCTTGAGCCCAGGAGGCAGAGGTTGCAGTGAGCCAAGATTGTGCCACTGCACTCCAGCCTGAGTGACAGAGTGAGACCCTGTCTCAAAACAAAACCAAACACCAAAAAAAAAAAAAACAAAAAAAACCCCCAAAACCAAAACCAAAAATAAAAACAACAACAACAAAAAACACATAAGAATGACATGCTTTACAAATATGTGCAGATCCAATCAGATGCGTTGTTCCCTACCCTTGCCATGGAATGCTGTGCCTGTGCTCAGCTTGATTTCAAGGCTGAGGAAGGTGCTTGTGGAAGAGGGATGCCATTTGGAGAAAGGATTGTTTAGAGTCCATGGAAACAAAGCTTAAGGATGATTCTGGTTGTTTATTTCACCTGGCATTTACTCAACAGTGAAGTCTGAGAGTTGCCTTGTGTTCAGAGGAACCTCGAAGGGCCTGTGCATAATGTAGCATTTGCAACAGTCCTAAGTGGCCATGAGTGCAAGAGGAAAGTTATGCAAGTTATTCAAGAAGAAAGTGCTGAAGTATTGAATTTCTCCTGCGTATTTCTTCCTCCTCTCCCTTTGTAAAAAGCAATCAATTCTCTGGCCGGGCACGGTGGCTCATGCCTGTAATTCCAGGACTTTCAGAGGCTGAGGCGGGCAGATCACGAGGTTAGGAGATCGAGATCAGTCTGGTTAACATAGTGAAACCCTGTCTCTACTAAAAATACACAAAAAATTGGCCAGGTGTGGTGGTGTGCGCCTGTAATCCCAGCTACTCAGGAGGCTGAGGCAGGAGAATTGCATGAACCTGGGAGGTGGAGGTTGCAGTGAGCCAAGATTGTGCCACTGCACTGCAGCCTGGGTGACAGAATGAGACTCCATCTCAAAAATCAAACAAACAAAAAAATCAATTATCTTGTCACTGAAGAAAATATTTGGTCTAATCATGAGTATCGTTTTTGGAGGTCCAGTACTTGATATATACTTAGATGAGATATTAAAATGGGCCTCTAGCATTTTCTCCGCTGACTCTTTACTTATAAATGCTAAATGAGATGTATCTGGCTCCAGCAGTCCAGATGGCAATGAGCCATTGTGAATTCGTCACCCAAGGTTATCCCTATAATGCTTCTGTGATCACCTTAGCGAGGAAGCTTCTTCATTGTTGTAGAAGTTAAATATATTTCATAAATTCTTACCTCTCTGTATACACTTTGCAACATTTTTTTTTTAACTCGTAACAGACTTTTTCAGGGGTACTTTTCTCAGAATTATGGCTGATTCAGGGTTGCTCTCTCTACAATATCTTATGTGATCTTCCAGCAAATTATATTTCTATCTTTTGAATTCTTATGTCACTTTAGCTGTAAGAGTCATGGTGCTTATCATTTGCTATCTTGCAATATAGTTATATTATTCATGTACATATCATCTCTCCTACAAGACTGTGAGCTTTTGAGAGACAGTGGTTTGAAGTCATTGTCATATCCATCATTATTATTATAATTAGTAGGTGTTCAGTAACTAAGTAAAATAAACAAGTATCAACTTGTTTCTGCCACTAACTTTGTTGGCCTATAGTCCCACACTTCTGTTTATTGATTGATTTTTTTTTTTTTTGTAGACAAGTGTTGTATATAAGCCTGAAAGGGCACTGCCTATCCAATGCTGGTATTGTAATCAATGTGCTATTGCAGATCTCATATTATATTGCACCAGTGCTATGTCTTCTTGAAGATCAATTGTAAATTAACTGTAAATGATAACACATTGGCTGGTAGCTTAATCCAGGTACAGAGGAAATGGATCTGTAAGACATTAACCTAGGAAATGAAGCTCTTCTCAAGTTAACAACATAAGTTATTTCAAATAATGTCTCTCATGGAGAATTCTTAAAATTACAGAAGCTGTCATCATATTATGTAGTGAACATTGCTTGCAATATGGGTTAGTGAACCTATATTCCCAGATAGAGGGAATAAAGCAGAAATGGGAATCATATAAGCCTTGCAATTCAGAAGAACCCATCAAAATTGTCTTTGCATCCATGGGAAATAATCAAATACTGGTGAGGAAGTCCTGAGAATATTACAGGCCCATTCTGTCAGAACAACTTCTTGATTATTATAAGGCTCTTTCTCAAAGGTTATTCATTAAAAAAAAAAGTTTGGTATTTATTACAGAGGAAGAACCAACAAAACCTGGTGATGTATGGCATAGGGGGATGATGAAATGGGGAGTCTTTGGACTCCACTCTCCATATTGGAATGGAGGAATTTCTGTAAATACAAATATGAAAGTCAGTAGAAGAACTAGTTTGCAGATAGAGAGAGAGAGAAGGTTCATCTTAGTTTTGGACTTGTTAAGAAGAGGGGCTACTACCCACCAGGCATTAGAAGTATGTAGTGTAACTCTGAAAGGAGTTTAGGATGCAAGAGAGATTCAGGAGATAGTTACACAGAGGTTACAGTTCAAGTTCTGAAACAGTCAGAGGAGAGAATGCAGAGTTAGAAGTCCAAGAGAGAGTCATGAGAAATGTCTTCATTAAGGAGACCCAGAGAGTTTCTTGTAGTGATTCAAAGCCCTTTTAGTACCATCTCAGATGTTTTTTTGAAGTCACTGCTTGAAGCTAGCCATTTGTAATAAATGAATTTCCAGATATCATTTCTGGCAAGAGATTGAACTAAGCAAAATTTGAAGCATTTGAAGACAAGAACTTTATCTGAACCATCATTTTTGTACTTTGACATCCTCTCACAAGGGATGGGCTGCAGGGGCAGCATGGACAGCCGAGGATGTCCTCAGAGTTGTTAGCGTTTAATTGGCAATCAGGGCAGCCTCCTCCTTATATTTCAACTTGTCACTAAATGCATGGTCAGTAACAGCAAGCCTGGCTGAATTATTAATGACCAAATACTTATTTTATCCAGATTCATTCACATTTGGTTTAGACTAATGAGACAAAAAAGAATGAAGTCTGGATAATATTCTGTCCACACCTACTTACCAATTTTGTATCAGTGTATTAGGCAGTCTTCACTTCTGTTGTAGCTTTGGTCCAGGGTAAGGTTTTGCCATGGTAATTCATAGCCCTTTGGAATTATACCAAATTGACAAATATGTCTTTAAAAAGCAAAATGGGATATTGTTAAAAGCCCATATACTTCTGAAAAATGTTTCAGAAATAGATAGTTTGCTCTTCCCTGAATGTAGATGTACAGTTATCTGTTCATTTATTGACATGATTTGGTGACTAAGCTCATTTCATACCCTAAAGCACAAACAGTAAAATCTTTTTGGAATGCTGCTGTTTTAAATGGATAGCTGTAACCTATAATTTCATACCTTGTATTGTAAAACTAAAACTATGTTGCGTTTTCCTCTTTCACTTTAGGTCTTGAGAGCTGATGACAATAACATGGGCAATGGCTGCTCTCAGAAGCTGGCGACTGCTAACCTCCTCCGGTTCCTATTGCTGGTCCTGATTCCATGTATCTGTGCTCTTGTTCTCTTGCTGGTGATCCTGCTTTCCTATGTTGGTGGGTGAGGCTATTATTAAAGAAAAATGAAGTTAAAGTGAAAATTAGCATGATATAGAAGAGCGATTTCTACTTAGTACTTATTTAACCTAAAGTGTCAGTCAATGAGAGGATTATCTGTTCACAACGTTATGCAAATCTACAGTTTCAGCTACTGTAACCACTCTACTGTTATTATTATTAATATTAATGAATGAGTTTATGAATGTAAAAGATTTAAGGAATGATTATTAGGTTGCAGGCACTTTGAAAGTTCCTGAGAACTCCAGGATGGTTAAATTAGTCCTTTCTTAGGAGCTCACAGTTGAGAGGAAGTGATGATTATCACACAAGGCAACACATGTTTAAGATAGAAGTGTATACATAGTCCTATGGGCACATTCAAAGAAAACATCATGGAGAGTTAATGTTTTAACTTTGAAATTAAGTTAATAGAAATTTGGGTTAGAAGACAGTAGTTCCGGAGTCACATTTGGCAGAGAAAATAGCTAGTACAAAACTATAACCCCTTGAAAGATGAACATAGATTTAGAAAACTGGGTGAAAATTTGGCAGTGGTGGGAAATGCAGCTAGACTGATAAAGTTCAAATGAAACAGGATCTTACATTTTCATACTAAATACTAAGGGATTTGGGGTTTAGCATTTAGATCACTGGTTTTCAAACTCTATTCCATGGTAACAAAGTTCTAAGGAGGAGACTTAAGGATTGCACAAATGTTTGCTTTGACTTTCATTAAAAAAAAACCAGATCTTAAATACACACTCAAACTACATATTACATACCACATTTTTAACCAGGTAAAAACCAGAAATCAAGTAATACGTGCTGACAGTTTAACTCATTAATATTTGCATCTTGCTATCTTTCTAAATGAATGATACTTTAAGTTTGAAAGGTCAACTTTTTGGAAAAAGCAATAAACTATTATCACTGGTAGCTACCTAATGATATAAATCAGGATTTTAAAAAATATGTGCAATCAAATAAAATAGAGAAATAAATATCAAGACGATGCTGATCTAATTGCATTGCCATTGATTTTGAATTTTTAAATTTCTCCAAACCTCCTTATTATTTTCTTACTGGTTTATAGAACTTACACACTTAGATCTTACAAAGTAAGTTAATCACAGTAAAATACAGCTCATATCTATTTATAGATATTAGGCTTTTATATGATATTTGCTTGAAAATAACGTTAATCTGCTATAAAAATGATTACAAAACACCGCTATGGGTGGTGGATTACCACTGGAGGATCTTTCCAAGAAAGGAGAACTCTGATTATTTTGCATTTGCAAAAGGCAGTAGAACTGGATATACTACAGAGTACTGAAGGCATAAAGAAATGAAGGCAGGGAGACCAGTTTGGGGCTCTGACTCTGGTCTAAGTGAAAGGTAATAAGGGTTTGAAATAAGGTGTTGGATGCATTAAAATCAATATAAATCAAAACTGGAGTTTGGTATGAGGGAGAGAGGAGTCAAGGCTAACTCCTGGATTTCTGGTTTGGGTAACCAGGCTTTTTAAAAAAACTGTGGGTACATAGTGGGTGTGTATATTTATGATGTATGTTACATAATTTCTTACAGGCATGTAATAAGCAATAACCACATCATGACAAATGGGCTCTCCATCCCCTCAAGCATTTATACTTTAATGTGACAATAATCCAATTATAATCTAGTTTACAATCCAATTATACTCTATTATTTTTTACAATCCAATTATACTCTATTATTATTAGTTTTTTTTGAGATGGAGTCTTGCTCTGTTGTCCAGGCTGGAGTGCAGTGGCACAATCTCGGCTCACTGCAAGCTCTGCCTCCTGGGTTCACGCCATTCTCCTGCCTCAGCCTCCTGAGTAGCTGGGACTACAGGCGCCCGCCACCACACCTGGCTATTTTTTTGTATTTTTAGGAGAGACAGGGTTTCACTGTGTTAGCCAGGATGGTCTCAATCTCCTGACCTCGTGATCCGCCCATCTCATCCTCCCAAAAATCGATTATATTTTTATAATCCAGTTATACTCTATTGTTTTTAAATGTACAATTAAACTTCAATTTACTATAGTCAACCTGTTGTGCAATCAAATGATATCTTATTAATTCTTTCTAACTATATATATTTTTTGTACCCATTAACAACCCCCACTCCTCTCCCCACCCCCTACTATCCTTCACAGCCTCAGCCTCTGATAACCATCCATCTATTCTCTGTCTCCTTGGGTTCAACTATTTTGATTTTTAGCCCCTAAAATAAGTGAGAACATATGAAGTTTGTCTTTCTATGTCTGACTTATTTCACTTAACATAGTAACCTGCAGTTCCATTCATTTTGTGGCAAAATGACAGTATCTCATCCTTTTTATGGCTGCATAGTACTCCATTGTATATACACACCATATTTTCTTTAGCCAATCATCTGTTGATGGACATTTAGGTTGCTTCCAAATACTGACCAGTGTGATCAGTGCTGCAAAAAACATAGGAATGCAGATGTCTCTTTGATGCACAGGTTTCCTTTCTTTTGGGCATATACCCAGCAGTGGAATTGCTGGATTCTATGATAGCTCAATTCTAGTTTATTTGAGGAACCTCCAAACTGTTCTTTATAGGGGTTGTACTAATTTACATTCCCATCAACAGTGTACGAGGGTTCCCTTTTCTCCGTATCCTCACCAGCATTTGTTATTATTGCCTGTCTTTTGGATATAAACCATTTTAACTGGGGTGAGGCGATATCTCATTGTAGTTTTGATTTGCATTTCTCTGATGGTCAGTAATATTGAGCCCCTTTTCATATGCCTGTTTGCCGTTTGTACGCCTTATTTTGAGAAATGTCTGTTCAAATCTTTTGCCCATTTTTAAGTTAGATTATTTGACTTTTTAAAATAAAGTCGCTTGAGCTCCTTGTAAATTTTGATTATGAATCTCTCATCAGGTGGGTAGTTTGAAAATGTTTTCTTCCATTATGTGTGTTGTCTCTTCACTTTGTTGATTGCTTTCTTTGCTGTGCAGGAGCTTTTTAACTCGATGTGATCCCAGCTATTCATTTTTGCTTTGGTTGCCTGCGCTTGTGTGGTATGACTCAAGAAATTTTTGCTCAGACCAATGTCCTGAAGAGTTTCCCCAATGTTTTCTTTTAGCACTTTCATAGTTTGAAGTCTTATATTTAAGTCTTTAATCCATTTTGATTTGATTTTTGAATATAGTGAGAGATAGGGGTCTAGTTTTGTTCTTCTGCATGTGGATATCCAGTTTTTTAAGCACAATTTATTAAAGAGACTGTCCTTTCCCCACTGTGTGTTCTTGGCATCTTTATAGAAAATGAGGTCTCTATAGGTGTGTGAATTTGTTTCTGGGTTCTCTATTCTGTTCCATCAGTCTGTGTGTCTGTTTGTATGCCAGTATCATGCTGTTTTGGTGACTATAGCTCTGTAGTATTATTTGAAGTCAGGAAATGTGATTCCCCCAGTTTCATTCTTTTTGCATAGGATAGCTTTGGCTATACTGGGTCTTTTGTAGTTCCGTATAAATTTCAGAATTGTTTTTTCTATTTCTATGAAGAATGTCTTTGGGATTTGGATAAGGATTGCATGGAATCTGCAGATTGCTTTGAGTACTATGGAAATGTTAACAATATTGATTCTTCCAATCCATGAACATCAAATATCTTTCCATGTTTTTGGTGTCCTCTTCAATTTTTTTTCATCAGTTTTTAGTTTTTATTATAAAGGTCTTTCACTACTTTGGTTAAATTAATTTGAAATCTGGGCCCATTTGTGTCCATTATTCTTGGGAAGGTGTTTCAGGTCTTCTAAGGGACTTGGGCCTGAGACCCTACAATGCTGCAATTCTTGAAGACTTCTAGAGAAAGGCACTGCCTTGGTGGTGCTGGATAAAGTCTGAAAGAATTCTCTGAATTACCAGGCTGAGACTCTCATTCTTTTCCCTTACCTTCTCCCAAACAAACAGAGTCTCTCTCTCCCCCTGTGCTGAGCCTTCTGGAACTAGGGGCAGGAACACAAGCATCCCCCTGGCTGCTACCACTGGGACTATGCTGGTTCAGACTTGAAGCCAGCACAGCACTGAGTCTCATCCCAGGCCTGCTATACCACTACTTGGCTACCATCTAAGTTCACTCAAAGCCTTAGAGTCTACAATCAGCAGGTGGCAAAGCCAGCCAGGTTTGTGTCCCTACCTTCAGGGCAGTGAGCTTCCCCAGGCCCCAGGTGGGTCCAGAGATGTTGTCTTAGAACCATGGATTGAAGTGAAAAACCTTAGAACTTCAGCTGGTGTTCTATTCTACTGCAGCTAAGCTGGTACTCAAACCATGAGACAAAGCCCTTCCCACTCTTCCCTCCCATTTCCATTGGCCAAGGAGCCTCTCCCTGTGGCTACCACCACCACCAACCCATGGGGGCTTTTGCCAGGCTACCACTGATGTTTCACTTAAAGGCCCTTCAGTCAGTTTATGATGCATGCTTCCAGGCCTGGGACTCACTCTTCGGGACAGTGGACTCCTCTCTGGCCCAGGGTAGGTCCAGAAATGCTAACTAACCAAGAGCCTAAGCCTGACTCAGGGACCCCAAGAGCCTGGTTGGTGCCCTACCCCACCGAGGCCAACCAGGCACCTAAGGTGCCGGGTAGAGTCCCCTTTACTTTTCCCGCTGCTTTTCTCAAATAGAAAGAGTCTTTCACCATAGCCACCACAGCTAGGAATGTGCAAGGTCACATCTGAAGCCAGCACATCTGAGCCCAAGGCTCACCGCATATAACCTGGGTATTGCTGTTGGATATTCAGGACCATGGGGCTCTTTGATCAGCAAGTGCTGAATCCTACCAGGTCTCTGCTGTAACAGACCAGCACTGAGTTCAATGTAAAGTCCCCGAGTTGCTGTGCTCTCCCTTTACCAAGCACACCGATTTCTCCATGCCACCCACTGCTGGAAGATGAAGGAGAGGTGGCACAAGCACTCCCTTAGCCACCCCAGCTT